ATGGCTTGATACTGACTGCGTGGCGGGTCCACTCGTATTGCTTACTGGGTGGCAATTTCGTGACTAGCTGCTCCAAAAGCGTCGTATTGATGATGTTCGCACTTAGCTGATGTTAAAAACGCGTCTATATTTCTCGTCTTTGTGGGGAACGATATAATTTGCTCCGCCTTATTCTCTCCAATATTTGGAAATTGTTGAATTTTGCTGAGTTGGTTTCTCACTAAAAGGTCTGGCCGACCAAAGTGAAATTCTAATTCGGCTATGGCATTTGGAACATTTTCCGGAAATATTAGCATTGAAGCTACAGTCTCCTTAGCACGACCCACTAGGCATTTATGCAAACGCATTAAATTCTGACGATTGCTGTAGCGAAACGCCTGTGTTGTGTCTTTAAAATTTGACAAGAAAAGGGGCCATTCGTCAGCATTTCCAGAAAAAATTGGCAGGTCATATAATTTAGTGACTGATTCGCTGGCTGCTAATGCGGTACTCTGCCCAGGCCCTTCTGGATAAGACACTGACAAACTCTGATGCGTAGCTTCGATGAGATTTGGCTGTGTTGCCTGCTGCACGTCAATCTGAATATTATCTCAGGCGCTCAATATCCCGCTGGCTTTCCTCAGTTACTGTTTTTAGCTGTGCGACTGCATTTGTAAGTGCATTAAGGCTGGCTACAATCGTGGCTAGCTGGGCCTGTTGCACTCCTTCTGCATTCTCCTCGGAATCTTGCTGTTCGCTTTGATCCCTTTCAAGGCTTCGCAAGTTATACATGCTACCTGGCATGCCACACACGTTCACTTCTTCGAGCACTTAAGGTCAATCTCCAATCTTTACTTTTGCAATTTTGGCGCAAAAACTATTCAACTTCCCGCTCAAAGAATACCACACGAATCGAAATCTTTACCAACAGCCAACAACACTTAATTCGGAGAACGGTTAATTTGGAAAAATATGTTACTGCAATTTATTTGTAACATGTGTTGAATATACAAAGTTAATAAAAAAGTAAAATAGCTGTATTGCAAAAAAGATTCTAGATTGTTCAGTGCTCTTTGTTTCTCCTCGTTCATCGTTCGCCTTTTGGTCGTCGTTGTCGTCGTCGTTGTTTCCAAATTGTGTTGTTCTGTCGTTGGCTGTTGTGTCAAAACTCTGCCTCTCCCATCGCTATCGCTGTCCTTTATACAAGGCAGATGACGGGGTTGCCCATATGTTTAGATTTCGATTTGAAATGAAATGGACAGGGTGCCATTACAGATACTATCGATGTTTTCAACTATCGCTTCGAAAACTATCCGGGTGGCGGTACTATCGATAGTATCCCAGCTCTAGTACAAGACTAAAAATATTACAAAAATTACACTGCTTATAGTAGTCAAATTTATCAAGAAATGTACTTAAAACAACAACAACGTACGTTCGCTTGCAGTTCGCTAGAATTTGAATTTATTTGTGGAAATTCATGACTACGCATGGATTGTTCACACTTATTCACTCATACAGCATGCATACTTCATGAATGCATACAACCGATTTCTACTGGGTATACACATTTGTGTGTGCGTGTGTATTTTTGTGTGTAAGTATGTTTTTTTATTTTTTTTGTAGAGGTGGCACAAAGCAAAGTGTGGGACTTGCCTTTCGGCTCACCGCACTAAAAACCCACCCCTGCTCCCTTTCCCTCCCACCGTGGAACTACCGTAAGGTATTACTTCGCGGAGGGGGAGCGGCCTATTGCCAATCTATGAAATTCTGCAGAGTTGTTCCGCTCGACGCATTTTAGATAAAATTGTGCTTGCCAAATTGCAAACAACGGCCCAATTATCTTCTGACTCAAGCATAGTATCCACAAGGTTATGAACCGTAAGTGGCCTCCCCACCTTCCTGCTCGAGTCATCCCTTTCGATTGCAAACCTCGGACAGACGAAAAAGCAGTGTTCAGCGTCTGCAATAATATCCTGTGTGTAAGTATGTGTGTGTGCATAGTAAACCAGTAGAAATCGGTTGATACCTTATTCTCTGAATTTTGTTACTGGCTAATTCTTACTGGCATTTGCATAGCGAACAGAACTACTGACTTAAAAAAGAACAACGCAGCATATTGTCCTTGGACGAGGATACGTGTACAGATAATCGAATGGTAGTTAGATTTGAATTGTTTATACTTCGGATTTTTTTATTATCGCATTACAAAGCAACCAGTCCAAGCCTTGTTCTGTCCGATACTGTCTCTGAACTAGTAACTTTATTTCATGGGAACACTTGCGCACTGCATACAAAGAGTTGCTGTGTTTGAATGCGACGGGCAACATCAAAAGAGAAATCCCTGATAGTAACCCAGTAGATAATTTCAGAAATTAAAAGCCCTTCCGAAGGGCCTTCCTGACAGTCAAGAGGACTTCCACTCTACATTCCTTTTTCCTTTCTTTTTTGTATGGAGTGGCACAAATTGAAGGGCTTCTTCTTTCGCTACCCATGGAAGGCCTTCCAAAAGGGCTTTTATAGGACATACTTCAGAAAGCCTTTGGAGGAGTTCTTTTGAAGTTGCTTCTTTAATGTATAAAAATCATACATCTTTGAAGTATTTGTTAAGGTTTATATCAAATATGTGTTATTGCAACTTAAAATGTTTTTGAAACTCATTTGTAATGCATTCGCGCAAATTGTAAATGGATAAGCTCTTCTAGAAGGCATGCATGGAAGCACTTTTTTCAGGCCTTCTTGGGTACGCTTCTTAGAATAGCTTTACTTTTGAAGGCCTATCTAAATTATCTTCTGGGAAGCAACTCGCGTTGCCGTGTCTGAACGCAGACTTAACAAAGACAAAAATGGCCGCCACTGCTCAAAGCCTTCTCATCTTTAGTCGACATCGTCCACGTTTTTACTCCATATAAAAGAACGGGCATGATCAGAGACTTAAGACTGGTTTTCACTATGTCATATTTTGACACCAAAATTTGGCGACATATTTTGACACAACTTTATCTCCTTTATCCATACCTTGGCCGATGATATTATAGGCCAAAAACAGACATATAGCCGATTTAGCAGCGTATGTACACGACTAAAGACCTATCCTGATCCAAATCAATCGATAAACCCCTTTTTGTGATCATTTGAGAATGTGTTTTCACTTATTTGACGACAAATGCCACTGAATTTGACATAGTGAAAACCAGCCTTTATAGAGCATCGTTTTTGTTCATCGACAGAAGGCTCCTATAAATTCCTATAAATTTGAAGATTTTAGAATTTTGAAGCACCAGCAACTAAGACCTTGAGTGTAAATAAGCTGAAGAATATAGCAACTAAGTTGCCAGTTGCTATCTGTAATACTAGTTGGATTTATGAAACGTCGCAAAGTTATTGTATCGTATTTGTTTAAAAATTTGCCACCTTGCACAGCTGTTTACTTTAGTATGAAAACGTTCTGAGATAAAATTGTGACACCTGGAGAACACGGATGAAATATTCGTCAGTTTGCTGGCCGGCTAAATATTTTAAAATTATTGTTTAAATAACATCATGAACCAAAAAGGAACGAAAATCAAAATCATTTTGGTAGGCTTGGGCTGCGGTTTTGGTAAGAGCGAATTTTATTTGCGACGCTTATAACATATTTGCGTACATTGGTTACGTGGCTTACCGAAACCACAACATACCAAATATAGGATTTCACTGTCAAACCGATGTCGAGTGAATAAAAATCGGTCTTGCCAAAACCTCAGCCGTACGCACCTCTAGCCCCACTCGCCTACAGCGGACGCTTTAAGTAAATGTATTACGGATGACAACCGAACTTCAGTTGGGTTGCCATTGGTTGAAATGGTATTACAGATGGCAACTGGCAACTGAAAGCTGTCAACTTAGTTTATGTTTTGGCAACTGCATTTTTGGGGCTGCTGCAGAAATTGATTAAGATAATTTATTTCTCTTTTAAAATGTGTCTTCAGCTTATTTAGACTCAAGTCTTAGTTGCTGGAACATCAAAATTCTATTATCTTCAGCTTTATTGCTCTTAACTGTAGTTTCTATTCATAATACACATTTCCATTTCAGTGGCGTTGCCCATCGGTAACCAAAACGAGGTTGCGTTGCAATCCATAATCGAGCCATAAGTTCTAAGTATATCGAAATAGCGCTCCCAAAAATAGAGCACGAAAAAAGCCGAAAGGTCTCGAAAGTATCCAATCAGGTGCTTTAAGTACAAAACTATATAATTGAAGTTTTATAAGTATGTCTTCCATCAACTTCTTAAAGTATCATAGAAATTTATCCAAACTTAAGGGCTTTAAAATTTTACAATATTTTCATTTATCTTGGTTTTTTGTTTAAGGTGGTCTCAAACAGATGCGATACTACCGATGCGACACAAAAATTTACGATATGCGATCAATACAAACCACTACGGTATATGTGAGTGCTCAACCAGATGCGGTATACCGGTGCGATACGATGCCTTCAAAAATTGTATCGCAGCAAGCACAATTGATCGCACGATATGAGTGACTTGTTCATTGTAGAGTTCTGAAATGGAATTAATAATTCAGCTCGTCAATTGGTACCCCATATTATACGATTTGAAGTATTCGGAGTATAAATATTGCCATAAGAAAGATGAAGCACGGAGTGTATCGTATCGCACCTGTTGAGAGCCTTTGCTTTTTATCGTTATCGCGTCAAATACGGACGGGTAGTATCGCATCTGTTTGAGGCCACATTTATTTGTCTTTAATGTATGCTCATATTCATAGCATTGTTTACCACAATTGAAGGGGTTTTCAACTGAGTGGTAACAAATAGCCATTTCATTTATGCTTGTAAAGTAATGTAGTAATAAAAAAATACTATCACTTCAAGAACATTTATAGAGATACTTCATTTCGTGTGGTTTTCAATATAATTTCATAATATCGTTTTTTAGTCAGCCTTGTGATTCGCATAATATTTGTAATTTCCTTGAAACAAAGCTATGAGACGAATAATATTCCACTTTTGTACAGGAGGAAATGCACGAGCAAATGTCCGGCTATAAACGCATGCGTCGAGAGCATCAGGCTGCGTTGGTGAAGCTTGAAGAGAAGTGTAAATTAGAAATGGAAGCTCACAAGGGCGCATTAGACAAGGAATACGATAACCTACTACACAACTTTACAAGGGAACTGGAACGACTAGAGGTGCATTGTTAAGTTATACTTTTCGTGTTTCTTGTGTTAATTGTGTAATTTATGAGTTTTAGGCAAAACATCAGCAGGATTTGGAACGTCGGCAAAAGCAAACAGCTGCAGCTGAGAAGAAACTATTTAAAGAAATCTCGCTAAAACAGGAAAGTGACCGTAAAGCCTTCGATTTGAATCGCAAAAAAGAATACAAAGCGAACAAGGAGCGTTGGAAACGTGAACTTTCCATGGATGAATCGACACCTAAGCGACAGCGTGATTTGACGTTGCAATCGCAGAAAGACAACCTGAAGCAAGCCGAAGCGCAGGAAGAACAGCGTTTGCTCAGAGTGCAAAAGCAGTATATTGAATTGGAGATGAGAAAGTTCAAGAGAAGGCGTTTAATATCTCTCCACGAACTAGAAGATCAGCTGCTGCGCGATGTGAGTGATAAAAAGCCATGCAAAATTGCTTACTGTTTTATGAGTTCTTCTATATATTTAGGAATTGAGCAAAAAGCAGCACCAACTAGAACAAGCTCATGCTATGCTGCTGAAGCATCATGAAAAAAACACAGGAACTCGAGTATCGCCAGCAAAAAAGCGTACATCAACTTCGTGAGGAGCAGGTATAGATATTTACTTTTTTGCTCGTATTTAAATTTAATCTCAAAAACAAATAATTTGCTAATGACAATGCAAAATAGTCATGAAATTTACTAAAATTAGTATACCTATTTGTTTATTTCTCGCAGATAAATACTCAGCACGACACGGAATTGAAGAACCAAAAAGATTATATGGAGCGAGTAAAGAAGGACCTTTTGCGAAAGCACGCGCTTGAAATCAGACAACATCCCAAAAGCTTAAAGGTATGTTATCGTTTGAGAAATAAGCAGCACAGAAAATCGTCACGAATTTTAACCTTGTTAAGTTTGAATAAAAATCGTTCGCTTTACGAAAATCAATATTCAATATCGTACTGACATAAGTGGAAAAAGATTTTAAGACCGCCGTTGGCCGTTAAGATATTTCATCGTTGTTGTTTACAGTTGACACATCTGAAGTTCATAATAGGTCAAACGATTACTTTTGCTATTTTAACTTTGCTGACCTTCACACTTTCTTTGTATATACTTTTTATCATTTAGCAAAAAGAATTGCAAATACGTAAGCAATTCCGCGAAACGTGTAAAACGCAAACAAAACAATACAAACGCTATAAGGCACAAATTCTCCAGACCACACCAAAGGAGCAACAAAAGGAAGTTATAAAACAGTTGAAGGAAGAGAAGCATAGAAAATTAACACTTCTCGGCGAACAGGTATTATAATGTCACATAATTTTTGTTTAACGTCGTTTTACATGGATATACATGTTATATTATAGTATGAACAAAGTATTGCTGACATGTTTCAAAGTCAGAGTTACAAATTGGATGAAACCCAAGTAATTGAGTGCCATCGCACCAACGAACAGTTGGAGTACGAGCTTGAAGTGCTCACTGCCTATCAAAATAAAAACAAGAAACAAGCCCAGGAGCAACGTGACCGTGAGCGCAAAGAGTTGGAAAACCGCGTAAACGTGCGAAGAGGTTTGCTGGAGAGCAAGGTGAAACGATGTTACTTTAATATTATCTCTGAAACATAATTTGTATTCTGCGTTTTGTTTAGATGAATGCTGAGTTGCAGCAATTCAATCAAGAACGTGCTGAACGTTTGCGTATCAAACAAGAAAAGCATTCTAGAGAGCTGGAAGCTTTCGATCACGAATCCCTTGGATTAGGTTTCAGGTAAGACTTTTAAAAATAGCTTTTATAGAAGAAGCATGTTAAAGTGCAATATTTAGGTATATACACTGCTTTTATCTACAATATGTTCCCATTATGTTTGATTGGCTTTGAATGCATCTATTTAAGGCTACTCGGCTTACGAGGGGCAACTTTTTTTATTTTCTTACAGACAGTCCTGACCCATTTTAAAGAAATATTTAAGTCATATAATATGAATGATATGAGAATATACTCGAATCTAAGTAGAATTATTGTTCCAGTTAACGGAAGACCCTGCTGCTAGCTGTGGTAACTGTATCAATCAAGAGTTTGGAAACAAGATAACAGTGGTAAATATGTACATATCGCACCCTAAATCAAAAACAGCCACAACTTCAAATTAAAAAAAAAATTGCGATATGTACATTTTCATTCAAATGAAAGTCGGTTCTCCGCACAAGAATGACTGGGGGTTGCGGTTTTGTCCGATCAAGGGCCGTTGTTTCGGCGATTTAACCTTCTTTAGATATGTGGAACCTTTCAATCATTCTTCGTCCTTGGAGCACCACCTCGCACCATTGAATCCAATTCCAAACCAGAAATCTATTTCTGCACCACTTATCCTTCACGAATCGCGACCATCCTGCCAAGGCACACGAGGATACTACAACTCGACTGCAAAGTACTGCAGAGTAAGATCGAGGAGATAACTGTCTTGATGGGTCGGCATGGAATATTGCGGCATGCGTTTCAAGAGAAGAATCCCCAGAGCAACTCAACTTTATTGAGTTGTAACGGATACAACGGATGCATCGTCGAGATCGCGAGCGCGTGCAGTATCATACCATCGAAGCAGACATCAACCTCCCGTAATGTATGGGTATTGCTATATAAATATTTAACGTTTGCATACCCCCTGACGTACATATATGCATATGTAGGTGCGCTACTTAGAGGTGAAAACAATATGGTAGTAAGTGACTTTACCGCGCACCACGATCTTCGGCATTGAAGCCTGTCAAACGGCCTTAAGGAAATTCAACTGACAGAGCAGATAGACAATTCGACATTCTGCACCATGAAAACGTACGCCTCACCTGGAATATTATATTATAGATTGATGTAGAGGTATGTACAGCGACCAAGAGGTCTATTGTGCCCCCAACCTGGATAGTTGCAACAGTTCGTCTATCTAACGTGGTGACTTATGGCTATTGCGTGCATCAGACCATTTTCCCATAATCATCTCGATCAATAAACCCACCAAATTTGCTTTGGCAGACCACCAAAATATAAAATTGGAACGCGATATTTTAGCAAGTTTCGGCTATTTTTATAAGTTTATTTGTTGTTCGTTATTTTTTTTATGAAAGTATAGCTCATTACCGAACAAAAACCATATAAATTCAAAATTTCAGACTTTGTGCAAAAGCTGTAAATTCTGCAAAGTTTCACCTGAACTTAAACATTTTTCGTCATTGTATTGTGGCATTTTAATATTTACGTTAACAGTGCTATTGAGCTTTGTACTACGATTTTTTTGTACGAAAAATGGAAAAAGGACAACACTTAAACTTTTTAATCAGAAATTTTGGTCTGTAGTTTTGTAGCCCATTGGATTTAATATAATAAAGTGCAAGTTTGAAAGGCATGGGTGGTCAAAATTCAATTTCTAAAAAATGGTTTTTTGGAAAAATAAAAACGCGGGTTTATTTCCCAATTAATTCTACATTTGGGGTAAGCTTTCAGCTTTCTATTGATTTTCGGCTGGGAGATATGCGTGTTCAAACTTGACAAATTTGAACAAAAAACTTTTTTCACAACTGAGAAATTCAAATTGTTACTGTATGATATTTCGTTTATATTTCGTTTATAGTTTATTTGTTGTTAATTATTATTTTTTTGTGAAAGCATAGCTCATTGCCGAACAAAATCCATATAAATTCAAATTTCAGACTTTTTGCAAGAACTGAAAATTCTGCAAAATTTCACCTAAACTTAAATATTTTTCGTCATTGTTATTTTTTTATTTTTTTTTTTGTGATGTTGATTTGGCCAGGGCTTGAACCCAAGCTTACCACTACACCACAGCAGCGCCATTTCGAACTTAAACAGTTTATTATTTTGAGGTTGCTCAATGAATAAAAAGCGGATTTAGTTCTAACAAGGACTTTAAAATCTTTAGTGAGAAGCGGATTTAATTCCAACAAGGACTTTTAGAGAGATCTATAGTAGGAAAGCGAGTCGCGCTGACAACTTAGGAGACGTTTTTAATAGATTGCTATTTTCATTAGACCATCTTACTAGCTCGCACTTGTTGCCAGTGGTCACCAACCGGAGATCTTGCTTTGCTGAAGCAATGGAGTTACATAGTAGAACCGGAAGCGAATTATATTAGTTTAACGGGGCTTGGATGGGATTTAGATTCCGACTATGAGTCACAGTTTTCATTATATAGTGCTTATCATAACTATAAGACACCAACATATTGACAACTTTTGAAAATTTTTTTATTATTTAATTTTAATAATTTTTTTTTCATAAACATATAGTTTATTTCTTAACAAAAATCGAATAAATCCAAGTTTCAAACTTCGTAAAAATATCGATGTTTTTAATTAGGTTTTTAAAAAGGATTTTGAGTGCAAGTTTGAAGTAGCTAGGACATACCGTTGATTTTTGGCAAGTTTTTTGATGAAGGTGTCGCTAATTTTCTCCATATAAAAAAATCGTCGAACATACTTCGTTTTTTTGACACATTTTTCTAAAAAAAAGTGTTCAGAGAGCTGAGATTATTTTTACATTCAACTTTGTTTTGACCATGCATCTAATTATGTTTTCCATTGAAACGTAAATTTTTGTATCTAGTACTTCCTATCTCTTACTATCTAACTGATCTCTGTATAAATGACTTCACCTGTTTCATGCTCTTTCATAGTGATTACAAACAAATACACACACTGTTACTGTTATTACATTTTATCGCTTTTAACTTCTAAGTATTGCGAATTCATTGATAAAGCTATCCTCTAATCGAAAGGACTTGTTCTTCCTGATTATATTGTACCCTAAACTTGCCTATTTTTAATAAAATTAGCTGGGGTAAGCCTATAAAAAAATGGCCGCTAATAGGTTAAGACGTCAAAAATTTACTCTTAAAAACTAGTTGAACTAGTCTAATGGAATGAAAATGATTTCAGAATTTTGAGCACTCGCTTATATGGGGCGGTCCCAGTGTGCGTCGAGAGAGGACTTTACTTCTCAATTGCCTACTCAGTCCAAAGTAGCACTTGTCGGTTAGAGTGATTCTCCGTTGTACTTATTTCAAGGCTGACATTGTTATAGCCCTGCAAACCATTTTTTCAGAGTATTCTGAATTGTAGAGAAATCTTAAAGAATTCGTAAAGATCCATCCGATTTTTTGCCGAATTTTCCAAAATGAAATAAACTGTGCACACTTCGATTCTTTTACGAAATTTTGGAAGAAAATCGGTAAAGCAATGAAAATAATGCTGCCATGTGAAGATTTCTTGCACAATTTTTTTCAGAATTTTCTTTATTTTTCGTACAAAAATTTCGTTACGAGTTCGTGTCAACCACTTCATATAATTTTCTTTGAAGATTCGTAAAAAAATCGCTAAAGAAATGAGATACTCCTAAAGATTACGTTTAGATTTCGGGAACTTTGGTTTGCAGGGAGGTTCCTAAATAAACTAAAGGCGCTGGCCCAATGCAGGCTTGCTTTGCACGCCTTGCTTACTTTAATTTGCTTTGATTTACTTCAAAAACTCGTTTGGCCAAATGGCGGCTTGGAACGCTGTCAATTTTGCCATCAAATTCCAGAAAATTAAAAAAAAAAGAAATACAAAACAATCTTTTCAGATTTATTTTTAAATGAATGTGAATTAATTTTTGCATTTCAAAGGAATGATAATAATTATACATACATATATAACTATATGTACATTTATTAGAAACAAAAAACTCAAAAAAATCGATTTTTCAAGAGACGACTTACCAGTAGTTTGACATAATAAATATCGCTAGCTTTGTGTGAAAAGTTGATAAGTCTGCATTTTATGAAGCCTCAAATTTTGGCATAGAAAGTAAGTGAAATTGAGGACTAAGGTAGATACTTGTTTTATTTTTCCTCGTTTATATTCAATATGCAATATGGCCAAAATAATACGAATTTTTTAACAGAGATCGAATCCTTCTGATTTGTATGGAGTTTTGCTTTGCTTTAAACACGCAAAATGTTGTATTCAGAGTTCCTGTAAAATTTGTAAAATTGGACTTACCAACTTTTCACTTTAAGCCAGCGACATGTTGAATATAAATATGGAAACATACATTACTTTTTATTACACTTTGAATTACTAATATTATACATATATTTTTTTAAATTACGTAAAACAATTTTAGTATCTACATAAAAGTCTGCAGCAGTTTGTTTGAATTGATTTAGAACGGGAACATATCTTTTTGTCAAAAGCCTACGAAACGCTTTCAAATAAAACATTTGCCTATTTGAAGCTTTGAGGCGCTTAAAGCAAGTGAAGCAAAGCTGCCATTTGGCCACCCTTCATACGTTTTAGTATATTCCAAATAACTTTTGACAGTTTTCAAAGCTAAGCAAGCAAAGCAGGCCTGCATTGGGCTAGCGCCTTAAGTCGTATACTTTTTTAAATGTGTAACGTCAACGGTGTCGTGAGTGCGAAGGCGCTTATGTTCTTACTGTCTGATGAGAAAATATACTTCGTTTTGTCCTCGTTCGCTACCAGACGCACACGCTTTGCTTCAGTTCTGCGGCTCTTATTTTCTCTAAAATCAGATTAAAGAAATCGCATAAAGGGAGTCACCTTGTCTGAAACCTCGTCGCTACCATGTCAAACTATCGAATGTGAAATGGGTACTTTTCAGGAGAGCAAAAAAACTGTTGTCAAAAATGTTGTTGTTATTAGGAAAAAGTGTGGGATTCGACACTTTGTTAAAGCCAGCATCCGCTGCTTCTCAGAAGA